AGTGGGAGGCACATATGCAAACTGTTGTAATTCCTACACCGTTCACCTGATTTGGATGTAAATACCCTCAAATTAAAGCTGACAGTCTGCAGTTAAAGCACATCTTGTTCGTTTCATTTGAAATCCATTGTGGTGGTGTATAGAGCCAAAAATGTTAGAATTGTGTCGATGTCCCAATATTTATGGACCTGACTGTAACTGATTTGCATTTTATTACTTACACTGGGCTGATTAACTAATTTTTTTTACTTTTAAATTGTTCTTCCTCTTAACTGGAACCTGCCAAGGAGTCTAACTTTTCAAATATATACTGTAATATTTTTGTACTGTAATATAATATATATACTGTATTCATGATCACCTTCACAAGGAGGATCTGAGAGAATATGAATGCTTATATAAAAACCAGTGACAGCTGGTTGTGATATTGAATGGGAGGACAAAAAAAAAAATTACTATCCATTACCATTACAGTTGAGCCGTATAGCACAGGATCTCATTGTAAATCTATTCCTCATGTATATAGAACACACCCATTCCTTTCTAAGACAGAGTAGCAATAACATTCATGATTCCTGTTTTTTCTTTAAGTCAGGTTCAACTCCATGATCATGTAGTGTCTCTTTCAAATAGCAAGCACAGTAAACAGCTCTTGCTGTTAGCTCTTATGTTCAAACCAATAAACCACCCACCCCTCTTTTAAATGTATGCTTACTCTATTTACATCTAGTTTTTCCTCCAGAGGCATTTTTAAAATGAATGATTGAGAAAATAATCCACCTCTTTCATGTTTATTATACCCGCTATTGTATATCACATGCGCAATCACTGATGATGATGTATTTGAATGTGTCAAAGAAGCCAACTTAAATAAATAAAGTCCCAAATTGAATGGCATGACTATTAACTATATATTGTGTGAATGTACAGTCTCAGCTATAACGAAATCAGCCCTAGCCTTTACTTTACTTCACTCACATGACAGTGGCACTCAACACCAGAAATCCCCATCACCAGAATAATAGCCTCCTTCTGGTTCACCTAGGTAGCCTGTGATCAATCACTTCCTAATTTATGGACACTACAAAGACTCCAGATGCTCATGTACACTTTGCCAAGTCTTGCATACGTTCATGTGCTTCATTTCTGAGTAGTTTGTTTGAATTACATGGTATTTGGATGTTCGGACTGTTCTTGTTATCGTTGTGCTACTTTGGATTTATCTGACAGATTGTTTTTATCTCTGTGTTTGGAACTGGTCTGTGTTACCAACTAGGATTTTTGCCACACATTTAGCTCAACTACTAGCTCAACTAGCTTGCATTGATTCAACAACCGCCACCACTGAATTAACTGCACTTAAAGATTGTATTAAAACAATGTAAGCTAGTTGAGCTACTTGTGGTGGCTCGGTGGCTAGGCTTTGAGTTACAAAACAGAAGGTCTTGTGTTCAAGTCCCAGCACTGCCACTGGAGCAAGACCCTTAACCGTCAGCTCAGTGTATCCTGTATCAATTGTTTTAAAAAAAATCAGCCAAATGAGCAAATGTACTGGATTATGTGTTACTTTATACTATGTAAGATATTACACTACTTTACAGATACATTTTAAAGTTGTTCACTGTAAATTTTACAATGTTTTGCTGGCAACCCTTCTGCCAGTAAATTGCTGTAAAATTTAAAGCTATTTTTTTTTACAGTGTATCTTATTTAATTAAATTTGAATTAATTTCATGTGTAATAATAATAATAATCATAATAATAACAATAATAACGTTCCTCGTTCAGCTGCTCCCATTTGGGGTCGCCACAGTGGATCACCCATCCGCATATTTTAATTCTGGCACAAGTTTTACGCTGGATGCCCTTCCTGATGCAACCCGTCCAATTTCTGGGCTTGGGACCAGCACTGAGAGTGCACTGGCTTGTGCAACCCTCCAGTGGCTGGGATTGGTTCCCTGACTGGGAATCGCACCCGGACTGCAGCGATGAGAGTGCTGCATGCTAGCCACTAGTCCACCAGAGAACCAATAATAATAATAATAATAATATCCACATTAAGTTAATAATGTATAAAATGTTAGGTACATAAGAGTCAGGATGTGCCATAATGAGCATAAAGCATTAAGAAAGAGGTTAGCACGTTCATTCAGGGGTTTGCCTATTCATGATACTAATTATAAATCACAATAGAGCTATGCATGAAACATTCTATAACTGTTGCAGCGAGTAATGAGTTCACCAGCAGGAAATTTTTTCCTGACAATCTGAATGCATGTAAAGGTGAATGGCATTAAAAGTAGGCCCATGTCTATCTTTAGGGCATGGTTCACCTGTAGTCATAATACTCCCAGATGCTTGGGAACTATCAATTACCTGGCTTTAGCACTCCAAACGGCTAGTTGTTAACTCCTCTTGGAAAAGGATGTTTGTGTTATCCACTTTCTGGACAAGTGTTTCCTGATATGTGCTGAGAAACCTTTGTAAGCAAAATGGCCTTTATTCAATGTTGAGTGAGTCATTGTATGCTTAGTAAACATTAAGCTATATAGACCTGGGAGGTTTCTAAACATTTCAGTGTAGGGAAAGCTTTTCAGTTTCACAAATTACCAAATGCTGAAAGAATCATTTAAGGACATGTAGTATGTAGACAATTAACTAAGAGTGAAAGTTATTCATGTGGACCACCTTTGTTCAAAAGTCATAATGTCTTTCTCCACCAGTGAACTGTAGGAAATTAATTAGTTACGGTGGGGAACTTTTGCCTATGGCCACTTCTGCACTGCCCTCAATCACATCCTGTGTCCCACCCAGTCTCTATCCCTGATCTGAACCCTTTTGATCTCTTCCCACAGTAGGCCACCTCACGGCACAGGATGGCTGCAAAAACCATCAGCCTGTCCTGTTCAGAGGAGAATAAATCATATTGTAATAACATACATCAGCAAGTAAGAGAGGGGTGGGTGGGTTTTAAGCTACCTGCCATAAATCACCTGATCGGCAAGTTTCTGTGTTGGTGTGGAAGGAAACGTGTAATCCATGCGGCCACAGGATCCGCCTGAGTACTGTGTGATTTAAAGCTGTGAGAAATTTGAGGGCCTTTGTCCTCCTTGGCCTTCGCTCTTAAACAAAGCTATTACTGAACTATATTGTCTAAGAACACAGGTGATTAATGGCTGAGGACCGAAGCACAAAAACTCTGTTGTGTTTGAGACAGAGACACAAAATCATCACTGTCATATCAGAGGAATATTAAGAAATCTGCCACAAAGGAAAAAGGAAAAGTTATGCATATTTGGTCACTATATATCACGTTCCTCTGGCTTGGTGCACTAATTCACTCAACTCATGTAACTATGTAACTATACAGTATATTGAAATTTTTAAAAAGTATTTGGACAGTGACACAATTTTCGTAATTTTGCCTCTGTACACCACCACAATGGATTTGAAATGAAGCAATCAAGATGTGATTGAGGTGTAGACTTTCAGCTTTAATTCAAGTGGTTTAACAAAATATTGCAGTAATCGCTTAGGAATTACAGCCATTTTTTTTTTACATAGTCCCTCCATTTTTGGCCATAGTAGTGTACTGTATGTACTAAATGCTTTTAATCAGTCAATGTGTTGGTGTCTATAAACACATGGAGTCTGCAAATCTTTAAATGCAAGTTTATTCCTTATCACTTTTGGGGGTAATCAGACTTTAAATGCCTTACCCCCAGGTAAGCGATGCACATGCACCTGGCTGTCCACATGATTCATCATGATGAATTGTGATTCATCAGACCAGGCCACCTTCTTCCATTGCTCCATGGTCCAGTTCTGATGCTCACGTGCCCACTGTAGGTGCTTTCGGTGGTGGACAGGGGTCAGCATGGGCACTCTGACCAGTCTGCAGCTACGCAGCTCCATACACAGCAAGGTGTGATGCACTGTGTGTTCTGACACCTTTCCATCATAGCCAGCATTAACTTTTTCAGCGATTTGTGCTACAGTAACTCTTCTGTGGGATTGGACCAGACAGGCTAGTCTTTGCTCCCCATGCACATCAGTGAGCCTTGGGTGCCCATGACCCTGTCACCGGTTCACTGGTTGTCCTTCCTTGGACCACTTTTGGTAGGTACTAACCACTGCATCCTGGGAACACTCCACAAGACCTGCTGTTTTGGAGATGCTCTGACCCAGTCTCTAGCCATCACAATTTGACCCTTGTCAGAGTCGCTCAGATCCTTACGCTTGCCCATTTTTCCTGCTTCCAACATATCAACTATGAGAACTGACTGTTCGCTTGCTGATCTCTCTCATCAACAAAGCGTCTTTGCCTGCAGAACTGCCACTCACTGGATGTTTTTTGTTTTTAGCACCCTACTGTGAAAATGAAAATCCCAGGAGATCAGCAGTTCTGAAATACTCAAACCAGCCTGTGTGGCACCAACGACCATGCCAGGGTCAAAATTACTGTGTATTATTGTGCATATTTTTCCCCATTTTGATGTTTAATGTGAACTTTAACTGAGGCTCTTGAACTGTATCTGCATTTCATGCATTGCACTGCTGCCACATGATTGGCTGATTGGATGATTGCATGAATGTGCAGTTGTGTAGGTGTTCCTATGCAACTAAAGTGGACAGCAAGTGTATATCCTCTACTGACAATCAAAAAACATCTGTAGACAGTAGACAAAAAACAACAGGTGATCAGTGATTTATGACAGTCTAAAGATGGTTTTAAATAGTCTACATTGGACTCTACATTGGACTCTTTTTGAAAAAAAATTTTTTTTCTTTTTTTGCTATATCAAAGAAATCATAGATGTTTTTCTGGCACATTTCCCGTATCTTCTTGTTGTCTTCTGGACTGACTAGCTGTGGAACTGGGCTTGTTTTTAGAGACACTCTTTTAACATGTTTGATTTTTCTGGAAAGTCTTTCATGCATTCCCAATGCACTTTCCTATTTTCTATAGAGGAGAGGCATGTGTTTATATTGCAGTCATTGCATTTACAGGCCATCACAATTATATTTTATATCCCAACCTACAATAACTTACAGCTGTACAAGAAGGACAGTGGTAGTAAACCAATGGACCACTGATTGGAAGGTTGTGAGTTCAAATCTCTGCAGTACCAAGCTGTGGATGTTGGGCCCTTTAGCAAGGCCCTTAACTCTCAACTGCTCAATTTATGTCATAAAATGAGGTAAATGTAAGGTGCTGTGGATAAGGGCATCTGCTACAGTGCCATAATTTTAAATGTAGCAATAGTAGAAGCAATAGTTATGAACTAGAGCAGCATTTCGGGCCTATTGGTAGCATTATTTGACATATATCTTGCGTTTCTGGCTGGTTGGGAGCAATGTGGTACTGATATTGCACAGGCATCTTAGGAAAATGCAATGTCTAGAAACTAACTTATGTATATAAATGATTCAAAATTGACATAATTGCATATATAGAATTATATACAATAATATATAATAATCCTTATATATTATTACAAAACGTCATTAAATTCTAATATATGAATGTACTATAATGTAATGATAAGTCATGTTATAATAATCTATTTTTGATCAGGTTATGTTTTAACATTTTTCATTTCTAGATTAATTTTAATTTGTGGTGATTGAGCTACCAGATGTGAGAACAAGTTGTTCCACGAGTAACAAATAAGTCTCAAGTTTAACTCACAAGTCCAGAGTCAAGTCCCAAATAAAGACAGGCAAATCAGAAGTGAAGTCCCAAGTCCTAAATCCTAAGTCAGAATGCGATTTCAAAATTTAACATTAGAAAATATATATTAAAAAAAAATAGAATATTAGATGTACATAAATAATGAAAATCCATAACAACACAGATTGAAAACATTCTGTTGTGCATCTTAAGAAACAAACAAAAAACAAAACAAAACAAAACAAAACAAAAAACAACAACAACAAAATTGTACAGTTTAGATGTACTACTCCAAAATCTTTTATCCAAAGATCTAGTAATGGCTGTTGAATCTGCTGTGGAATATTTGCACACCTCAAGAATTTAAATGACTTTATTATTTCAAATTCACACGTTTTAAACATTCATATTCATGCAGGTTGCTTGCAGTCATGCTTTGAACTCAGAGTTGTACTTGCGCTTCTTGCTTTCACAGGTGCCCAGGAGAGCAGAGGACAGGTGGAAGCATTGGAAGGGCTTAGTGACTCAGTGCCCTCTCTCATAAAAACACAGCTTTAATACAAACACCCTATATCTGTGTAAAAGCTATAGTTTGCTCCCATCTGCTGTGCATGTGAGACAGACTGCTGAGTTCTGAGGAAGGCAGATGTGTTTGTGCATAAATGTTGTAACATTAGAGCTTAATGCAGGTGTTAGACTGGAGGTGTACCGGGTACAGGGTCATAGATGTCAGGTGATTTTCATAAGGTGCTTGACCTGTTACTGTGAATAACCCTGACAGCTGATTGCCATATGCAAATATTCAGCAAGTAGATGGGGTATAGATTGAAAGATGATGGCATGGACTAATATATGATTCATCAAGTCTTTAAAGTATACCATAGATCTACAGACCCCTGGTTATTTGCCACTCTTTGCCCTCTCTCAGTATTTATTATTAGAAATTCCTAGAACTGTACACATGTAAAAAAAAAAAAAATTAACAAACAAACAAACAAAAAATAAAACAAGTAAAGTAAGCTATTTTTTTCCCTGTGCATGCAAAATAATGTTGTTGTTAGTTTGGGGTCAATTTCATTGGTCTCAGAACAAATTGGAAGTGTTTTAATGTTTAATTGAGAAAAAAACACTTATGTTTTAATATTCAATTTCAACCGAATGGGAATATCAGCCAGAATGTCATCTTCATCATACATATTCATGGATGAAGTTAAACTGATGATTGGAATGATAGATATGTGTATGCACATAGTTAATCTGCAAATAGATTAGTCTATGTTGCTTATTTTGCTAAAATTGGAAAGAGTTTCTTTTAAGTGAGAATGAAATTACAAGCTCTCCCAACTAAGAAG